ACAACTTCAAAGAGCAATGGCATCTTTTTTTTTTTCCTTCTCCCTGGCTAGAATCTCTATTTGCCTGTGTATGCTTTGTAGTACTTTTTTCTATCATGACAATTTAATTTTTTGTTTGCTTTTTTACAGGAGGAAAAAAAAATGTTTTGCTTTAATGATATTCACCATGATGAAAAGTGGCTTACAGCAGCAGAGTCTGGCATTTTCTGTTTGCACCAGTCAGTTGCTAGTGATTGATCTCAGAAGCCAGGCTTCATTTTCTGAGCAAAATAAGCTGCAGTTGGTAAAACCTGATTAAAGTGAGTGGAGTTTTATGTGATGTGGCTGTTGCCACTCATTTCAGTGTAAAGTCTCTCTTTTCAACTACAGAGGACTGGCAGAACACTGAACAAAAAGTATGCATCAGTTTAGAATGCACTCTTCTAAAAGTTTAAGTGTTCCTAATAGGCCATCAAAATGCTAGGAAACCAGCATGTGATGGGTACGTCAGCATGTAGAGTAAACTCCTAATATAGCTGTTGCAGAGTTTGGGCCGTCATCTTACACGGACTACCACAAGAGAAGCTGCTAGTTGGTCTGATGCTACCATTAAATTCATCATGCAAAAGTTGCTGCTAGTGATTATGAACTAAATATAAAAAAGAAATTGAGCGCTCTTGACTTTGCTTCCTGATTTTTGAGCCTTTAGGGCACAGTGGATCCATTGTGGCTTCTCCCTCTAAGAGTTTGAGGCCCCAAAACATCTGAGATTCTGACACAAACAAGCCATGCCAGCGTTCCTCATGCTGCTCGCTGGGAAGGGCTGGCATCACTCTGTTACTTCCTAACAGACAGAAAAGCTCTTTTTCCACTCATTTCTGAGGAAAGAAAGACAGGGAGAGAAGGAAGAGTAGGCAAAATTATACTTGAAGAGGTGCAAATATAAAACTAACAGACTTGGAAACAACATGTTTCGTTCAAATGTCTATTTGCAGAGCAGCTCCTCTGCGAGGTAACTAATGACATGTGAAAAGGTCCTATGCACAGAAAAGTCTGTCATGGTAAAATAAGGAGCTCTGAAGCTGTGAAGTCTGGCATAGCTGTAAAAATAACTTTTGCTTGGGAGGGGAGGCTGGGAACCCCACGGCTCCCGATTAGTTTCAAAGACAATGCCCAGTGCCGCAGCAAGGAACACGGAGGCTACTGTGGCTCCTACAAATCTCCACCAAAACCTTAATTTAAATTACTATCAAAGATTAAAGTCTAGCATAAGCCTACACTCCCTTGCAACCACATTAATTATTAAGGCAACATGCAGAGCTCTGTAATTGGCTCCTGTTTGTTAGCACAGCGCTGAGTTTATAGGTTAGGGTGGTGGCAGAAGGAGGGTGATGGTGATGATTATGCATGATGTCTGGGTTTGCTGGTTTGGGGCAGAGGTGTCTTCTAAAATTGGAAGCAATGTTAGGAAAAATCAGGGTGCCATCCCTGTAGCAGAGACCAGGAGAGAGGAGGGGGCAGGCTGGCTGTAGGGGAAGCAAGGACCACAGGCTGAAATTAAATGAAGACACTGCTAGGAAGTGAAGACAACACAACCCCCCCCCCTCCCCAACCAAACAAAAAATACCCTTTCCCCCTACCCCTGGCAAAACAAACAAACAAACAAACAACCCTGCTTCTGCTTTGCAGAAGCATTAGCCACTGTGGTAGGTTTTATGCAGCTGTAATGTTGCCTTGCTTTCATTTGGCTCATTTTATTGGGAAGTTCTGTCCCTTCCACTGGCCAGAAACCAGACAACACCTGCGAGGGTCCTATCTCTTGTTCTTTACCACATTTAAAAGTCATTTATAAACAACTTTACAAAATGGGCTGACCGCAACTTTGAAGAGCACCTGAAAGCATGGGTCTGTAACCAAAGCCCACGGGTCTGCCAGCAGATCTGCTGTAGCCACCTGCGTGTCCTTGGTCTCCAGCAAGTGTCTCTCCCAGTAACGTGCTGTAAGCGGAGACCACTCTGCCTGCAACGTGCACAAAGTGTGTAAGGAGCATGTGCAGACAGCTTGGCTGACCTATAGCAATTTTGTTATCCCGTGTAACTTTTTTCTGTCTCGGAGTCCTAGGCTTCCTCCCCAGCTGACTCAGTTCATCTCAGTTTGGGCCAACTGCAGTGTTTAAATCCTGGTGAAAACTTCAAAAATGCAACCCACAGGAGATGTAAGAGGAAAAGGGACAGATCTGAGGTACCGCCAACATCTCTGTGTACATATCCGGGGAAAAGTGGAATGGGAAATTGTTCCAAGAGGTGGAAAGCCAGGAAAGGGAGTGGACAGGGTGCCTCTGCCTGGGAGACATGATAGTCTCAAGGAAGAGGCCATCTTTCTGGAAGAAGGAAAGCAGAAAGTATTGTAGTAATTCTGGCATCATTTAAATCTGAAAATTGAAGGTGTCCAGTGAGACCTTATAGTGGCCTTCCAGCACTTAAAGGGGACTTACAGGAAAGACGGAGAAGGACTCTTTATCAGGGAGTGTAGTGACAGGACTGGGGTAACAGTTTCAAACTGAAAGAGGGTAGCTTTAGATCAGATATTAGGGAGACATTCCTTACTGTGAGAGTGGTGAGGCACTGGCACAGCTTGCCCAGAGAAGCTGTGGCTGCCCCCTCCCTGGCAGTGTTCAAGGCCAGGCTGGGTGGGGCTTGGAGCAACCTGGTCTGGTGGAAGGTGTCCCTGTCCATGGCGGGGGGAGGGGGTTGGAAAGAGATGATCTTTAAGGTCCCTTCCAACCCAAACCATTCTGTGATCCTGTGAAGACAGTGGTGGAGAAATCGGCATCGGTCACTTACTCGCCTCAGCCAGAGTCTGGCAGGGGAAGGTATCACAGCAGGGGGCCTTGGGCAGGCCACGCTGCATCCCCTCAGCAGCGGATATCACAATGATGACAACGCCATTAAATTGTCAATCAAGTTTAATGCATCATAAAGAAGTAAAACTACATTGGCATATTTAAGACAAACACTTTTTTTTTTTCTATGCACACTATCCACTGGACAGTCCCCTTTTCAAAATAACTACTTTTAACAGTCCAAGACACTTCTTCAGAAATTCTTCACATAGTCAACCTTCCACACTTTTCCTTTATTTGTCTGAGAAGGAAAAAAAATCATTAAACCTGAAAACATTTACATTGCAAGCCACATTAGAATGCATAATTGGCATACAATAACCAATGTATAACAATTGTGTTTTACTTAGTTCACTTTGTTCATCAATAAAAGAATATAAAAATCTTGTTCAACCGAGTGTTGTGTATTAAAATAGATTTGTATAGTACTGCACAGTTTCTCCCGGAGTTGTGAAAATGGTTGAAGGGACCATGTGCTGCCTAGTGATGGGCGACAGAAAAAGCCAGTCCCTCGTGTGGTTTTTTTTTTATTTAAAAAAAAAAAAAGATATTCGGCACCATGTGATATGCTGATGTGAGAGACTAGCCTTGTGTCGTGCTCTGGTGGCTTCTTGCTTTCCTTAAGTACCTGTTGTGCTAATTAACGGAGAACTCATAAATGACAGAGACGATGGCATCTGGTGTGTGTGTGTGTGACGTTGAGAAAAACCGGGGTGCCCATCACTACCTTCCCGGGCAGGCCGCAGGGTGATGGGGGGGGGCCTGTGGCCTACAGGAGGGCCAGGCGGACCCTTGCAGTATCAGGAAGACTAGCTAGTGAAACAAGAAGGCGCACTGGGATTTTCTCAGGCTAATGCTAAATGCTTCCCAAATCTGCTAAAAATCCAACAAAATATTAAAAAGGAATCAAGTTTCCAAAAAAAACCCCAATGAACCCTTTAACTTTTCCACGGCCTGTCCCTCGCCCAGAACTCTTGATATTATCCAGTATGAGAAATAACCCCTTGAGGCAGGTGGGTGTTTTTCTGAACCACTTCAGCAGATATTTCTGCAAGCCAAAAATAAAAATAATACTAATTTAAAAAATCACGTTACTTATTTTTGACAATAAAAATGCAGTACAAAAATGTAAAGTTATCTTTTTGGCATATTATCTGTACTGGCAAGAAACAAAACCCAGAATATTTATTTGCTTTCTTTCTTTAAAAAAAAATAATTCAAAATTAAAAAAAAAGAAAATGACCAAAGTAATCTCTCTAAAAAATGAAGCCCAACCTGCCAAAGATATCCACTATTATGGTTTATGCTAAATCTTGCACAAAAACTCCATGAGAAAAATACACCGATAGCAAAATAAGTAAAAAGGACCTGCAAAAAAGTAAGGAGTTTTACAGTCATACTTTTTTAAATACTTCGGAACGCATATACAGAAGCATCAGCATGAAAATACTTCAATATTTTACTAGAAACGCTAACTTCATACAGCTTCTTTATTTAAATATCTGCAATTCTCAACTCTAATAATACTGAAAAAAAGCGATCTTTTGTTTCGAAGGCTCTGTTGAGTGTCCATGACGTCATTCTGGTTAAAATGGCCCCATCTCCAGGTCACCTGAATCAACAGGGCCAACTTTGTTCCTCTGGTAAGAATCCATGTCAAGTCCTAAGTAGTTCAGTTTCTGGTTATCGCACCGATTTCCCTCCCACACATAGCTTTCAGCCCAACTACTTCTCTACTAGCTCACTAACTCTTTGCATTGAAAATTTTCCCCTTAAAGCAGAACTGGAAACCTGTCTGCCCCCCACAAAAAGATATCCTGCTTCCTATCGGCCATACTGTTCCTGTTCATCCTCAGTCATAAATACATTAAGGCCAACATAACAAAAAAAATCTCATAAGCACTGAAAGTCTCGGCAAATATAAAACCGCAGCACAATCTGCTCCATGGGAACCTGCTGCCACAGTGACCTACAAACGGGACTGATTGGTTTGCAAGTTTCTATGCGTATCAAAACTGAGATTCTTCCTTCTTTCCTTGTTTCAGTTTAATCTCTCCTCTGCGCATGTGTATAAAGTTTTTCTTCCCCCCTTCCTTCGCTCTCTCGCAGCCAGGCTCTGTCAGTTGTTACCCTGTGATTGCTGCAAGGCTTTGTGCATGGCAGCGGAGGCAGGGGAGGGTTTGATCCAGGGGACAGTTAGCAGGGAGGAGGTGGTGGTGGTCGTCATGGTAACCTGAATCATCTGCTCGTTTTGTATCAGTCTAATGAGGGTTTTGAGACGTTCCAGTGATGACTGAGTCCCTTTCTGCTGGGCCAACAGGCTGGTTTTTAGCTCTAAGCATTTCTGTCAAATAAAGAGAAAGGGAGAGAGAAGGGAACACTGTGAATACATTCAAATTGGTGTCAAACATCTCTCCAAACATCCTTTTGTGTCTTGAGTGCACGTTCTGCTCAAATGAAGTATATTCTCCTTTGGGAATAGCAGAACCACAGCTTAACGAATGGAGTAATCACCAGTGCTGCATACACTGCAGCAGCTGTCTAAGGTAACAATATTCATCCCTGCCCAAACACATTCAGAGGACATTTCCGACCTCATCCTGTAGACAGCCTGGCACTCCGCACTCCGAAGAGATTACTGGCACAGGATTGTAACAGCTGTATTACTGGAAAGTACCGAAGGTACCAGTGAGATCTCTAAATCTTACCAAAAGGCATTGATAAACACTTGAGGGATAAACCTCACCATGAAGCATTTCACACATGCCACACATTTTAGGGAGTCAGTACTGTGAAGACAAGTTGATCTCTCTGAACATGGTATCAATATCTTTCTGGCAGAAAACTTGATCTAAGACATTACTGTTATACCACCACAGTCACAAGAAAGTCTTTTTCCTAAAGGGTGGACAAAGTGCACCCCACAATCACTTGAAACTTTTCATACAAATCTACATGAAAATGAGCATGAGAGCAGGAGCCAAACAAAGGCATCCCAAATCTCCCTCCTCCAAGAACAGATAAGGAAGAATCAGCAATTCTCCTTTCCCTCCCCAACCACGTGCTCCTGCAGGTAACACCCCATCCTTTACACTGCCAACTGGCCTGCAAGGGACTACGAGACAGACCAAAACCCTCCCATTTTCTTTCCCCCAGTAGGCCCAGGGCTCTGGCAAAACTGGTTACTTGTCTGAAGACTGCTCCTCTTTGGCTATGGTCTAGACTGCCCAGGGTAGGGGGAGGATTCTCTAGTCCTGGGGGAGCAGGAAACGCTCACTTGCAAGTCAAGTTGTTTGAAAAGCAACTGTGTGGAGCTGCTCAGAGGTTGGTTTAGACAGATGAAATCTCAGGCAAAGGATAAATCATGTTCTGCTTTTACCAAATAATACCATTCCACCTGTGGTGTGCATGAGTGTTCTCTTTAATGTAAATCTCTGTCAAGGCAAACATCAGAAACAAAACTGCTCTCTGCCATGACAACTTTAATTGCTTTTCTCCTTTCAAGTGCACGTATCTCTAATAAATATAATCATTGGCTGATATTACCACAGAATTATAGAATAGTTTGGGTTGGAAGGGACCTTTAGAGGTCATCTGGTCCAACCCCCTGGCAGTAAGAAGGGACACCTTTAGCCAGATCAGGTTGCTGAGAGCCCCGTCCAACCTGACCTTGAATGTTTCCAGGGATGGAGCATCTATTACCTCTCTGGGCAACCTCTGCCAGTGTTTCACCACCCTCATTGTAAAAAATTTCTTCCTTACATCTGGCCTAAATCTACCTTTTTTTAGTTTAAAACCATTACTCCTTGTCCTACTGCAACAGGCCTTGCTAAAACGATTGCCCTCATCTTTCTTACAGACCCCCTTTAAGTTCTGAAAGGCCACAATAAGGTCTCCCCGGAGCCTTCTCTTCTCCAGGCTGAACAGCCCCAACTCTCTCAGCCTGTCCTCACAGGGGAGGTGCTCCAGCCCTCTGACCATTTCTGTGGCCCTTCTCTGGACCCGCTCGAGCAGGTCCATGTCTTTCTTGTGCTTTCTTGTTACCATTTAAATAAGACAATGTTGCCCAATGAAAGAACCTGGATCTGTTTAGGCAGAAATCTTACTGATTTTGACAGCCCTGACATCCACCTAGTAGCTGACTGCATCCCTGGATGTTTTTCTCTTTCTGAACACCTCATCCCACTGCACTCTCCTACCTGCTAAAGATACCCCATACTGCAGAGTCACTTCTTCACATATCTGTGTTTCCATTAGTGCTGATAGTAGCTATACATGCTTATAGGGAATATTCCCCACAGTGATATCTTTAAATAAGTTCTTGGTTTTCCTTCCACTCTATTTTAAATTTTATAAATATTTTAACATGCTTCCTCTGGACAACTGCGGTGGTAAAACAAGTAGTGACCAGTTACTCCTGCAGCTGCCACTGTGATTTTTCCAGGACAAGGATGTTTCAAATATTTATTGAGACTGTCATGCAAGCTAACAGGTACCCCTTAAGACAGGGCCTCAGGTGAGGTAGCCCCAGACACGTTCCTTCAGCATGGAGGATACGAATTATGGCTTTGAACTTAGCCCATTCATTACTGCCAGAGACTGGTCACCATAGCATGGTATGTGTGGGAGACATCTCCAGTCAACACTTAACTTTGAAAGGAGTTCATGGAGAAAACGATTGTGAATCCATTTCCAGTCATGGGGAGGTTGTTACAACATTCAGCCGCTGAGACAAATAAAGATGGTTATTTCTACCTAATGTCAAGAGTTTTGAGCTAATGGACAAGCAACTACCACTGGAGGACACGCTTGCCTTAAAGTCACTGGGCAGATCAGAGCTGTGGGTGTCACTACAAGGAAGGCAGTCATGGCTATTTTGGAGTTTTGTTGTGTGTGCAACAGGAATTCAGGTGATTTCTCCTCCTCAGCCTGCCAAAGCAGCTTGCTTTTACACATAAAGGAAATCTACAGGTTTTTCCTCAGAAACACATTCACACTTGAACATCTGTAGCTTGGGAGCATAAATCATTTTCTAGCCACAAAATATCAGTTTTTCAGGCATAAATTCTTTATAAACATGTCTGCAGGAAACTCTGTGTTCCCAGTCAGGTGTCCTACCTTCACTGCATTGTTGAGAAGTCGATCTTTTTCTTCTAACTGTCTATGCTCACTCTTCAGCTCACTGCTTCTCTTTAACAACTTTCGCTTCTCTTCTTCTTTGACTGTGGAACAATAACATTAAGGATGCAGGAGTTAAGAAAAGGACATAGGGCAAAACTGAGCACTTGGCCACAGAAAGCAGAAGCATGTATTTTGAATATTTCAGGTCTCATTAGTGTTTTGTCAGCAGGTACAAATAAATCCGGAGTTTCTGCATGCATGCATGCATGCCTCTACATCAATGGCTAGCACACAGGACAACCCAAAAGCTATAGTGCACCTCTGAGATGAATTAAAATTAATTCTTGGACCACATGTGGTCCTGCAGGTCTCCAAGAAAGAGGTGAACAGTATTTAAGAATAGGTCAGCCACCTGGAATGGCAATAGTTAGCAACCCTATCTGAAAAGAACAGTCATAACAGTACTAGACCTCTGCAAAGCTCCTTACAAATATGATCTAATGCCCCAAACAGCCCACTGTAAGAGTGCAACGGGGAACTAAAAAAGGGTAACGGTCAATGCCCAAGATATCATAGAACATCTGATGCTAATGATTGTGATACCAAATAATACTGAAACAATTAGGAGCTGATAGTGCTGTAGTATGTGAGACACTAGGCTGGCATTGTGCTATATACCCAATTACATGGCTCTGTCTAGCCTGACTGTGTCTTTCTGCCTCCCAGCCTGATATGATTCTGCCTCAAAATCCCTTTCTCAGATCTGTTCTCAGGAAGGCACCACTTTGATGACAGCAGCCTCCACCGAGTAAAGTTCCTGAGAGATCAATGTCAGCTTCCTTAAAGAGAGAAGATAGCAAAGGAGCAGACCGAGGGGAAGGGGAAAGTGATCTGCTGTTCCCAGTCACAGCTCCTTATGGTCCCTTGCTTAACAATACCATCATACCTGGTAGTATTACAACTCTACTTTAGTATTAGTGCTATGAAGGACTCAAATGTCATTGCCTGTCACGAGCAGAGAATCCCTTGTTGATCCCCCCTGTTAATCCCTACCTGTTTTATGAGTAACATAGGAATGAACAATAGCCAGAGTTCCAGTCCATGGCACATTGTCGTCTTTCTTTAACACCTATAAGGCCAGGAAACAATAAAAAGTTAGGACTCCACAAAGACACATATTAATGTCTTTCTTCCTCCAGCCTCACAGGTCTGCAGGACCAGATCTAGGGTCCTTGTCTCAGAATTTGCAAGCTGAAAAGTAACGAGAGAATAATTTGAGTAGCTGTCTCTGTTGGGGCTTACTCCTTCACACATCGCTATAAACAGTACTACCAAACAGTGCTAAAAGGGGGTTATAAATCCTCTATTTTTTGTTGCTGTGGCCAGAAGACATTCTTCAGCCCCTGACAAGCAGATCTCCATGCTGTCAAGAGTGTTGTCTGCTCAACATGGAAGAAGTTGCTGGTCCATATGGAAACATGACTGTGCGGATCTAATCCTGGGCTGCTCTGATCTCTACAACTGCATAGTAGAACTTCGCCTTGATATTTTCAAAGGAACATAACAGTGATCTCAAAGCTAAACACAAAGAACTCGAAGGCACAAAATCTAAGCCTCCACTCTACAATTTAGTGACACTGTACTGTTTTAGTAATTGTTTTCCTGTTCATGCAATCAGCATTATTCACAGCGACTAGACAAATTAGCATTTCTGACATGACTATGATCAATAGCTGTGTGTAATAAACATGATTTAAAGAAAAGGAAGTGTTCTCCTCACAGCTTTCAGATCCACTGGTGAACAGTGTCTCCTTCTGACACTGCCTCCCTCATCTATAACATTTACATTACTTGTTTGGCAACTCTACATGCTGGTGGCTTTGTTGTAAAGAAGGGAAACAAAGGAAATGAAGAGACATTTTAAAAGGACAGATCTTAGCAGATGTGATTACAGAGAAGCTAAGGCACTCAGTGTATGTTCTAACCCTAGGATGATGAAAATATCAGAAACAAGTGCTGCAAACTGTACTAAAAGCCTCTCAGTATTACTTTAGCTAACGTAGTCCCCTAAGCTGTGACCATAGGTTAGATTAGTTTGGCGGTACACAAATTCAAGGTTTCTCCCATTTTCTTTTCTTGGCATGCTATGCTCCATGTAGCTTACCTTCTGTTGGCACTTTGGACAGACCCAAACCCCCTTAGGGGCAGTTTTGAGGGGTGGGTCCAAGCAGTTGAGGTGATATGCTCTGGGACATGTGCCACAGGGCTGCAAGTTAACACCACGCTTGCAAGCAGTGCAGTGTTCATCATGGTGGATCTCATTCTGCAAGAGAAGAAGGATGGCTTGGGTAAAGTCAATCCATTGAGAACTCTCTATACAGCATTCAAAGCCTCTATTGCGGCAGATAGTCTCAATCAAACACAAAATCTAATTGTCAAAAGGACCCTAGCTCCTGTAGAAGACAGAAATAACAGTGTATGATAGGAACAAATACAAGCAAACAAACAGAAGAGCCAGAAGCAAGTTCCATAAATTGAAACAGGTAGAAAAATAAAAACCAACTAAATAAACACAGAAGGGAGTCGACTAATATAGCCAGCTTGTGACCTAGGAATTGTTTCACTTGTTTTTAATAATGTGCCACTGAACACATGTATCACCATGCACAGCTCTATTCTGAAGCATGGGACAAAGTCAACATGTGGATCACTTGTCCTTCAAGTCCAAAGGAGAAGGAAGCAAACAAGAAAAAAGTTTCTGAGGAAAAAGCACAGTTCCATGTTTTCTGCCCACTGCCTCAAAGAGCAGCTAGGAAAACAGTATGCTTGAGTACAACCTTTTGCTATGTACCCTCTTTTGTGAACTCCTCTAGAGGGCTCCTCTGTCCCTCTGTTCTCCCTGGCACTAATGGTTCTCTGTTCAGACTTGCTCTGACAACCTTTCTCCAACAAGACTGATTAGTCCTTTGTCTGAAGCAATACATAAAATGAACCAAGACTCATCAACAAAGTTACAATGTCATGTAGTAAATTGCTATGCTAATCTGGTGGCAACATTAATTACTCTTTGTATAATTAAGTGCATTTTAATAAAGGAGATACTGATTTTGAAACTCTCGTGGCTTGTGAATTGTTATAAAAACGCCTAAATTTTCCTAGTGCTTTTCCAGGAAGAAGAATAATAATTTTGCACCTTTGTTCACTCCAAAAGCACGTTTTCATTTTTAGGGAAATTAATTATAACATTTCATGATAGTTTTAGTCAGGCTTATATCTTGAATTCTAACTCAGTCCTGTCAAAAAATTGCTCTCCAAAATACTAATCTTTAGAAATTACCTGCTCAAAAAGTCTTAATTTTAACCTCAATGTAAAGAGATTTAATCTATACAAACTAGAATGGTTACTCATTTTGCTCAAAATTTTCATTTAAACCACAAATCTGGACTAGCAATTTTTCAATCAGTGGATTCTACAAAGGGATTAAACTCAAGCCTTGCAGATGAAAGCCCAAGAGTTCATCTCTTTGAAATTCTAACTTAGGGGGTCAAAGATTTAGTTAAGTGGGAAATGTTTCACACAAGCAGTATGAAAGGCAAAGAGAATACTGGAATTTTGTACCTTGATAGAGACTACAATAATCAGAAGCAAGCATTGAATTACACAGTGATGACAAAGACACTGGCAATACACGAATTTTGCTACACATACCTTCCAGAATGGATCCTCATTTGCTAGCATACGAAAGAAGGGCAGAGAACAGGTTAGTGGGAAATACATCGCTGCAGTGAATGCTAGTTCTCAGCTATGGGAGTAATTTTAGTCAAGCTGTGACACAGGAGATCAGGACGTTGCCAAAATTAATGCGGGCAGGAAAGAATGCAACAGCAAGCAGTGGAATTAGCATTTGAGATTCAAAACTTTTACATTGCAGGAATCCCATGTCCAAAGGTCTGATGCTAAAATGTCATAGTATGAGAAGCACGCTCTATTTCAAATTTTCAGAAATTTTCATGCGGAGCTCATCTCCACATGCCAGTAGTCAAAATGTCTTTCTTAAGGACTTCAGCCTTCTGGGTGATGAACAGTTTGGCCCTGAACCAGCAAGGCACTTAAGCAGGCGCTTAACTTGAAGTATGAAATTGATGCCACTGATTTACCGTTAAACACATGCTTAAATGTGCAGCTGATTCATGGCCAAAAATGGTCAGCTGATTCATGGCCAAAATGGTCAGCTGCTTGTGGGAGTGAGGTTTATGCTATCATCAACTCTTTATCATCAAACTACTCCCACCCAAAACGCCAAGATTTTCTGACCTTTTGATGAACCAAGACTGTAGTGATTGCATTCACAGCCTGATAAGAACAAGAACCAACAGAGCTCACTGGAAAGCAGGCCAAGCCTTTCATAAAAATGTTTGTGAAATTCATCACGCTTTGGTCCAAAAATAAAAAGCCAGAAAATTTTAACAGCTTTATGGAAACCACACAGTGGGTTGTAATTTTTGATGCTGATTTGTAAGAGGCTGGTGCCCACTGTCCCAGTGACAAACAGCTGACGGAGAGGCCTGTCTTTGGATTAAAGTGGAGACAACCAAACTCATATTTCTGTCCTTCTGCCCTTCCTCACCTCCCTCTCTGATGACAGTGGGAATATAGCTGCCCCAGTGTGATCCCTCAGTGATAGACCAACCTGGGAATTGCTTCCTGCTGTTACACATTCATTTTATACACTGATGTATGCATGCATGTGAAGATGCAGACACATTCGGAACTCACACACATGTAGAAAGAGGAACACAAGAACGAAGGAACAGTTTCACCTAAGTCAGACCAAAGGCTGTAAAGCCCAGGGTCCTTTGCTAACAGCATTCAGTGCTGCCACTCATATGCAGAGTGCAAGAACAGGTCAAGCAGAGTAAATTTTTGTACGCCAGAAGTATCCTTCCAGATGCTAGCAGTTTATGGGCTTCCCTAACCTGGAGTTTGCATCTTCATTTTTATATTTAACAGCCTTAGATAGGTTGTTTTTTTTTTTCTTCCATAAATTTGTCTACTTTTCACAACAATTGTAGCATCCTTTGGCAATGAGTTCCATAAATAATCACAGACTTACAAAGTCTGTAGATGTCACTTCATATACATGAATACACACAGAGATCCACCACGCTATGACACCACAATTACTCAGGGGATATAAATGTTATTCAGATAAACAGAGGCTTGGTAATTGAAGAGTCTTTTCTACAAATGATACATGTCAGGGCATGTGACCTCATTTCAGGTAAGACATTTTCAGACAAATGAATCCTGATTAATTGACATTTGGCTCAAAATTTACAAGAATTGTTCTCTTCTGCATTTCTGGAAATGACAGTTGTTTCCTGTACTTTATAGGGATTTTTTAAGTTTGTTTATTTCTCTTTTCAGCTTACTTTTACTCTAAAGTTTTTAAACATTTTAGAGTATGTCCACTTCTGCCTTCTAGTTGATGAAAAATTAAACTGAATACAATTTTTTTAGAGGAGTGTTTTATAAGAGAAAGGGCAGTCAGCTCTGTACTGAAAGTGTCAACTACATCACTGCAGTGCCAAGCTGTCTGGGACAGCATCTGTCTTGAGTTCAGAGCTTGCACAGCATCTAGCACAGTGGTGCCTGGTGCACTTAGCTAACAAAACCTCTACAGAGGTGGGGAGTTCTGCTATAAAGAAGTCCAGCTTAAAATTGTCAGAATACACAGAATCGCAGCACAGATTCTAGATGCTGGAAAAAACAAAGCTAGAGGACTCGAAGAGGAATTAACAATTAAGGAGAGAGATTGCTGATTTCGAAGCGGCTCTGAGACAGCTGCATCACTGGAGTTCTGTCACTTGCCTACTTCCTTGCAAATAAAATGGGAAACATGTGGCAGAAAGAAGGTCAGAGATATCAAACCCCAACTTAAATGAAATCCACCGAGGGGCTAACAGCACAGCTTGCTAACATTGCCGTTCTCTTGTTTCCCTCATGTGTTTACATGTGGAAAACAAATGCTAGGATAAGACAAACAATAAATTATAACTTTAATTTTGAGGGTAAAACTAAGTCAGGAATAATGTTCTTTCCACTGGGGCTCACACAAGCATAGGCTCCTGCTAAGAGGCATGTCCTCATAGCTGTTTACCGTGTAATAAACTTGCTTGTCCTCTGAGACTCTATGCATTAGAGGCATATGGTAAGTAGGCCAATTGTCTGCATCTATCACATGAAGTTTTGAAAGAAGAGAGAAGCACCGCTGCATTTCAGTTGACGATCCTGTGGCACAGGAATTCAAGGCAGGGCCAGAACGGTGACTCTCAAGCACTAAACATGACACTTGACAGGGATATCAAGCAAACACTGAAAAACTTTCAAAACTTCATGTCTTAATTGAAATTACCCCAGTAAATCTTACTAATACTGAAACAATATTTGGCTTAGAAAAAAGCCCATCTTCCCCTACCTCTAATGCACCACAGGAGAGCATAAATTATAAAGGCAACACAAGGACAAGGACATAATCATATTTGTTTACTGGCTTTCTGTCCTCTTCTGAAATGCAACTCAAGCTTCTTGCTTTCTCTTAAAATGGGCCTTATCTGAAGAACTGACCTGTACTCAGTGTTCTCTGTGTTTCATTTCCCACCGCCCAACTCTTTGCCTCCTCCATATGTTGCATGTCTTCCCTGGAATGGGCTTCTTCACATGTGCTAATCATCATCATCCCAAAATGGCCCCTGAGTTGTTCATTCTCAAGGCTTTTACCATGAAATTTTCAGCATCTGAAGTTTTTATAAATACAAGATTGGCAGGCACCTTCAAGGGCACCAAATCTATATCTATGGCTCCAGCTCTTGGAGTCAAAAAAATTGTGTGGTTTTCAGCCATTGTTTTTAAAGCAAAAGGTACGGTCAATTTCTAGCCCTTGAGGATGGACATCAGTTTCTTAATGCTGATGAAAAAAGGCAAATGAAAAGCCTAGAATAGTAATTATTTTTTAAATCCCAATTTTTCAATATATATTTTTAAGCGCTTGGGGTTGGCAACACTGTATTTTTCAATCAGTCCTCTCTCACTGCATGGTGCTTACAATCCTAGAGACTGTGTTTTCCACTGATTGCAGTGACTTTGGATCTGTTTCTACACAGTTAGCCTTTAGCCTTATTCTTCAATTGTTTTTGCAGGAAAACCATCTATTTTCACTGCACACTAAAAAGTGCAGGGACCTTACACAAAGTAATGCCCTGTCGTACCCTAGCAGTAATTCATATGAAATCATACTAATAAATATTTAACATGTCATTAGAATAGTAGTATGTTCATTTAAAAATATGCTTACCTCGTGTTGAAAGGAACAAGGGGTTATTCAAATAATTTGATGCAAGGCGTTTCCGCTACAAGGGAAAAGAAACCAACCACAGTGTCATTGAAAAGTGCTCTGGTTGTCTCTTGCTGTTTCGTAACACCACCAGCTATCCAGAAGCTGGTTCTGTGACTTACAATATTCATTGCTAACCCCTAAGACAGTCATACAAACAGTTGCATTATTTATCTTTCTAACAATTTCTTCATAGAGCAGTTGGATGCGCATTAGATTTTATTAAAAAGAGAGAAATGCAAATCGCAAATGTTATTGATTGGGTTGCAGGATATGTTGCAGAGGTCAGTAAGAGCAAGGCAACCGCAACAATAACTCCAAGCCTAGCAGATAAGCAATGTCCATAAGGGAAAAACTGTGTAAGAAATTGTTGCTGTGAGATGACATCTTTATTTGCATATATGGAAATAGTGATGGACTTCCCACCTGCAGAAAAACACCACTACCTTCTGTGATGCTTGCCTACAGTTTGTAGCAACATTTCATCTGCAAGAAATGTATTAGGGCCTAAGCAAAGTATTTCTCTTTCAGAAGTTAATGTATATGACCTGTAGGAGCTGGCAGCGATTTCAGTCTGCTGAGGTCACCAAAGGTTTTCAAACTTACAAACACAAACCACTGGAAACCTGACTGAGACATTTAACGAATTTAATGCAGCCCATCGCCAGCTTGTCAGATGGGAAAAGCTGTTGGTCAATAGCAAGCCAGGCTTCATTAACAGTCTATATAACCCTAATTGTTTCCCTGAGCCATCCAATACTTGTACAGCGGGACTGGAAACAGTAACATTTTCCTCCATTAGATGTTGTTAAGACTCTGCTTGGAGGAAAATTAGAGGGGTTTTGCTAATAAATGATTTATTCTGTGGTGAGTAACCTGTTCTCTTATACATGGGTGCCTTGCCAGTCTGTTAATGAATTTTGAGTAGATGTTTCTTCCTTCAAAAAATACCCAGCCTGAAACTTAACCCTTTCCTATGGGGAAAAAAAAAAAAAAGGAAAAAACCCAAGAAAAAAAACTACTGAGAGTGGGAGAAAATAGAATGATATCTGTTTTTTTTCTTTTTAAATAAAAAAAGCTTTGAAAAGAAAAAGCACAACATTCAAGTGAAGACATAAGACCATGATCACATTTTTGTAATCAAGGAAGTTAGCATCACCACTACAGATGCTGAGCCCCTGCCGTTTTGAGGGGCGTTGGCAAATAAAAAGTCTAATTTATATGCAATTTCAATTTAAACAATCATGAATTAAAGATCATTCAGTAGACTAACTGTAAATTAATGTGCACCAAAATGCCTGAAATGCCACAAAATACCTCAACTCACTGATTAGCAAATCAATCTGAGCAGCTAATTGATCAGAGAAAAGCCATCTGCCTCCATTTTACTTGAACGGCATTCCCCATGGTCAGTACTTAATGACAACTCCTAATGAGGACACAGCTGATCAGCCACAGGACTCTTTCACAGACATTTCTTTCTCCATGCCATCTTTCACTTCAGGATATGCTTTTGAGAATAGACATAATGAGAAGTATGAACTAGGGGTGCAGCAGACCTCCTCCATCCCCGCTCCAAGATAATCGAGTTTCTCACAAACACCGATCAGACTGCAGCCATAAGACTCTGTGCCAAGTACTTTAATTAACTCATCAGGACAAAAAGGTCTAAGAGAAGACACTATAAGTGTAATGCTAGCAAGGCTAAGGTTCCTACTGTGTTAAATACTGGACGTATGGCCATCAGTGTTTGTTCTGAAGAGGTCGCTATAGAAAAGTTGAGAAATTCTGAAGAATTCAAGTGCCCAGAACTGCTCTGGAGTATAAAAATCTGCCATACTTCCAAAAGAAGAAAAATCAAGGCACTGAGTAGCTTGACTACAGTGGTGGGTTTCTTCTTAGCCTCATCTGTCTGCTACCAACAAACACAGAAATCTGAAATGTTGGCATACCAAAAATTCTTCATCGCTTGTACCTAAATAAAGAAAAATCACTTTCTTTAGGCTTAAAGAACTCAGAACACAGAGAAATCTTGCTTAAATGGAGAGCTGACTGCAAAACAGTCGCATTCCTGTAGGAAGTTCAAATAGTAACCTCAAACTGTGGTGAAATTTTAATAAGCTGAATAAATGCATTTATGTCAGTTCAGAAACAAGAAAAAAAATTCAGAAAAAGTTAGGTCTATTTGTATGCCACTTTTACACCAGCTTTGCCATCCAATATGGTGTAGGACCAAATTTTGCTACGACTATAAATGTAACAGCGTAAGTGTAACAGACAACAGAGATTATCCAGAGCATTTTATTTTTAATTATGCATTATTATATTTGTTATGCAGGCTTCCACACCCCCTGCGGAGCACACTGATTCTTAAATCAACACATCCCTTTTATGAATGTCACTAATAAAAAAAGCAAAGTTCTCCATTTATTATTTGGCACATAGGAAAAGAGAAATAGCAATGCAAGTTTGAACATAATGCAGCACTTCTGTTCTTCAGTTCTGACCTAAAGGGACTGTCTGTGTGGGGAATTAATTAGGTCCCACATTAATTTAGTCCTTTTGGCCTTTATTAAAACTAAGATGAATTCTAGTTTGAAGCAAGTGATGTTGTGGGGTGAAAACCTGTTGCTTAGCTACTGAGATGAGATCTTTTCTTTTCCACATCAATATCTCTTTACAAGTAAATGTGTGGTTCTGCATTCATATATACTTTTGTAATAAGCAGCACTTAAACCTTTTATTGACATGAAATAGAACTGTGGTAAAAAAAGTGAATGATAAAGTACCTCTGTTTCCAAGAGTCCACTGTAGGCTGGATTTGCTGTGCTTCTTCTCTTTCTTTCCTGACGCTTGCTCTGGATTTCTGTAACCATGGAAAGTAACATGACTTGTGCGTTTCTCATTCATCAGGGAAAAACATAGATCTAACTTGTTAAGCAAGATGCTCTTACCCTCAACCCTTTGGGCTTTGTGTTCAGTTTCAGTTTCTAAAGTATAATTGGGTTGCATCAGCATTGATATTTGCTGCAGTTCAAGGTTTGACATTAATAAGCTTTTCCTTGCAAGATTCAGAACACAGGCTTTTTTTTTTTTCTTCCTCCAAGGTGGACTTCTGCTGCCCTACAAGATTTTTATTATGATTCCTTCAGATACATATTCAGCAAGCATCAACAGAGAGCTTTCAAAATGCTATCAATGTCTGCTATTAACAAAAACGAAGCATTTAAAGCAGTTAAGCCTTGTGATTCGTATCAGATGAAAGCATAGAGATCCTTTAAGATTTAATTTACATTATTTTTCCTCTGCAGAGGTTAGAAAAAACACAGTAGGCATGGCTAGATTCAGTTCTAACTAGGGCGTGATGATTTATCCATCCGAAAATACACAACTTCACAATCCTGAGCATGCAAAATGTTGTGATGAGCCACACATGTAGTTGTGTCACTGAAAACAGCAGCACAAAGATAGGCTCATCGAACTGCAGAACTGCTCAGAAAAGGGTGAAACACAAGAGAACTCCCTTCTGGTAAATGGTAACACCTATTCAAGACAGTACTTGCTGAGGAATGCATTTAGCAACAATTAGCCATGTGCGTACTTCTGTAAACACACACAGAAAGAGTGAGCGGATTCCTCGACCACTGAAATCTGCAGGTTTAACGCTACTTTTATCTGAGCTAGGATTTCATTTCCATCATATGGAAGTTCTTTTTCCAGCTCTTGACGTCAGTTCAGAATGGTGAGACTATTACAAGCATGTATTTTAGAGCCTACTTCTTATTTTGATAATAAAGTAAGAGCAGACATACTTTAGCAAGGAGCATCCATCCTTTAGCATCCAGCATCTGTCCCATGACATGCAGTGTGCACAGCTGGACCAATGCGCTATTCCAAAATGTTTCCTACGTGAATATTGTAAGGCAAAGTTTAGACTCTGCACTGAGATGCCACAGAGGGATTTTATTAGTCGAGATGCCCCCGCGACGGCGATGCCTCTGTTCTGTCTTGCTCTAAGTAAATCTCTCTGAATGAGAGGAACTGGCTTTTCAGCCCAAAGAACCAGGAGCATGCCCAATAGAAACTCAGGATACCATCTGGTTCTGCAGAAGGTCTGGCATCTTTCATCAATGTCTGAGCTGAAGAGGCCTATCTCAGAACACCTCAGCACCAGAAAATGGCCTTCAGGATATTGAGCACTATCTCCCACTTGCAATCCAACAGTAAGACACGGTCCAGCTTTCAGGTTGTTTACGATACATGGGGATTGGATTCATAGCACATAGTTCCAGTTTCCAGGCACCCTTTCCAAATGTTGATCACTTCCCCACAGAATAAAAGGGGCCAAGTACCACTTCAGGTGTTGTTTCAGTAAATGCTATTAGTATTGTCAGTCATGTCTTGGACACGGTATCCCTAGACATGAGGCCAACACTTTGCACGGATTTTGTACTGTCCTGAGTTCCAAGATATTGATTTGAAACTTCTCATTCACAAAAGACTATTGGCTAAGCCGCCACTCTTGGAGTGATGGATATATCAGAAGGAACCTGGATAGACAAGAAAAACTGAAGAGCAACTACTTGCATATTCTGGCTTAGTTTTCCCACTGGCACAGGAACATGCCACCTCTCACGCTCCAAAGGTGTCTTTTAGGGCAATTTAAAGAATACAGGCAGGTCTGTATCCACAGTCTGACATGAGCTAGACATATGCTGCCATGTGACTCGGGGAGCTATACAGAATCTCACTACCAAGAAATGTGTGATCCAAGGCTGCACCAAGACATGTGATAAACACCATGGCTGCAACCACTGCCAGCATCTTGTTAACATCCTCAGTGCTACACAGACTCCAAACAGGAGGATCTTGTATGGGTTACAGTTCTGTCCCACTGTGAAAGTATTTCCTACGAAACGCTCATCTAGCTATGCTGAAATCTCAATCCTGAAGCTTCCAGACCCTTTGGCATCCTCTAAAGGGAATGGGGCCTCAGCAGCAGAGTAAGTGCTAGACAAGGATCCAGTAGCCTGCCACAGAGCCACCAGAAAAGAGAGAGTTGTTCTTGATGTCAGCATCGGTTCTTGTAAGGGGAATGCTCTCAAGGCCAAAAGGTGACAGAGAAGTAACAACAGAGGAACCATGTGGCTTAATGGTGGCAAAGAAATGGAGGAAGTGGCCCTCCACTGACTCTTTACTTTGGTCTCAACAGTGTGAGCTGGAGCCATGGATCTTGCAGCCAGGCTCAGTAACCCACGCCACGTGGTCAGTGAATCCAGGGCTTGCAGCATCTCGTCACCCTTGTGGCAGCACAGGGAAAAAGCTGGAGTTAGGGCAGCCCAGGCTTAGTCTTTCAGAAGTGGCCACAAGGATACAAGCTCGTGGCTTTTCACTGGTCCAGAAAAAGAAACAAAGAATTAGACACAGCAGAGCTTTCTGTGTCCATAACTGAGCCAAGTGCCTTCACAAGAGGACTGTGATGGATCTGTAGCTCTCTGCCCTTTTGGGTTGCACGCATAAGAGAGAATTTCTTTGATACATGCTCTCACCAAGGCAATTAGAAGTATTTGGTGGAGTGAATCACACATGTGGTAGATACCTGGAATGCAGCTTTGGAAGAGGCATCCCTATGGTACAGAGATAAAAGATGGCTGGGGGGAAAAGTAACAGCAGTGGGAATAGATGAAAATAAAGAGAGAGAGAGGGAGTAATGAACTGAAATTGCTCTAGATGTACTCCACCCTATGCAGCCATCAGGGAGGGAGAGCACAATGTCAGCACTTGACTTATGGAAACTGTGAACAAAAAATATCCGTGCCTGTGATATAAGGAGTTTATACATCTAAGAGTGTATCTGTCAATAATCACACCGTGATAGAACAAAAGCATACACTGGTATACTATTTTTTGTTACTTGTTACTTCTGCTAAAAAGTATTGTGTATGTTTCAAAACAGGGCTTAATAAAGTAAAAATAAATACTTTGTTTTAACTGATTAAAACATTCCAGTAACTTAGACAGAAATATTTCAGGGTTTTTATTTATTTTCGCTACAGTAAAACAAGATGCGCATTTTCAGAATGACCTGAACTAAAGAATTCTTTTAAAGTTTTGCTTTCTATGTACTTTCTTTTTTGGTTTGGGTTTTTTTTTGGTTTTTTTTGTTTTTTTTTTACACAATGGTAATGCTAAAAGGTGTTCTAATAGCTTAGGGAAAGTGAAAGAGATTTAATATGTTACAACCATGCACTGCATCGCAGAATTGGGCTATCTTATTCCTTAGTTTATTAATTTAAAATATATAACCCAAACAGAAAAAAACCCCACCTAACCTGTAATACATTTGACAGAGACAAATAAATTTGAAGACAGTATTATGTTGGAGGTAGAGCTTCAACGAACTGCTGCCTTCATCAATAAACACTCTGTATAGTCATTTATGAGGCCCGTAATGACAATTTATCTTCAGGGAAAGCCATACCTTGCAAAATGTCAGTCAGTGGAAGCAGCTTTGTTAATTTACTGGTAAAGGCCTCAAAAGATCCCTCACACTGCAGAATAGAGCTCTTTTCCCAGTAAGGGGAAAGATGCTCCTCTGGACGTTAGGTGGAAAGGCTGCTAGGCTGGTAGAGAAATCCATATAGGAGTGAATTATAAAATGAAGAAAAGCACTAACACTGTGAATTAATGATACTGAGTGAATAAGCTTTTAATGACCCAATCTTGATACAGTTTAATTCCAAAAATGTGAAATTGAGAAATACATTAGAAGTACTAAAATAAACTGAGCTGTGTAATGACCACTGCTTCCTGATAAATAGCAATGGCTGATAACCGTAAATATGACATAGCACTAAAATAACAACCTTTAGCATGTGAAAGCTATAAGGGTATTTTTGACAGTTATAATCACCAATACTCATGAAGAAATACCCTTTCTATAGTAAATAGCTCTTGGTGGGAGCCATTTATTTAAAGCTAGTAGGAATATAAAAAGTGAATTTGTCTGAAAGAATTGATTCTGCAGGATAAGTATTGTAGCAGTTAGGTTCAAAATGTGTGTCTCTGCACTTACTGTAGAACAAACAGAGCAGAGCAGTACTTGGCATTTTGAACATAAGCATTAAATCCACACAAACAATTTATTAGTTCCAATAAAATCAAAGAGTAAAGAATTATTCAAAATTAAGTTCTCTCTGTTGTAAGCATAATTTGCACTTCAGCATAATTGTAAATGTTGTCCTATTTTCCTTAGACGCAGAAAACAACATCGAGTCATCATTCGCACTTTTTGGATTATAAATCTTCTCCCAAAATTGCTGTGGCTTTTTAATTTCCATTTCAATCCATTACCATTAAGGGATTAAAAAGACTGATGGCTTAAAGTTTCTTCAAACTGCTTTCAAATTCTCAGTCACTGGGACATTAAATAATTTTCTAAAATGCAGATTTGAAGAGGAAAGACACTGAAAAAAGGCAACGAGAGCTACAGAAAACTTCTTGCATATATTGAGGAGACCTTACAATTAAGACACTATTTTCTCTCTAATTCACAATCTCTCTTAAAACCAAGGAACAGAAGCACAGGGAATCTTACTAAAAAGAAAACAAGCTGCAAAATGGTAGATACCTCTTGAGTCAGAAAGGTATCTAAGCATGTGCTTAACTCTAAAGCACATAAAACTTAAACTCAGTGCACTGGAAATTCCTAAGTATTTTGCTGATGATGGTCAATGGGAAACGTGGTAACTGTCAATTATCATTAACATTTTTTGTGATCAAGAATCATTGTCAGCTGACACAGATACCAGATTTTTCTCCTTATACCAGTGGAACCACACCAACTTGTATTAGCTGAGCACGTAACTAAAATACAACAATAGACTTTTTCTTTAAAATGGCTGTATCACCTCTGTCCATTCTGCCAAGAAACCCCCAACTCACCTCACACCACTGGCAGATTTGCTGAACAAATTTGCTCATCTCTGTTTTCAGAAAGATAAAGCTGACGTAAAGAAAGGTACAAATCTGCTAACTCTTGCAAGGTATTTTTGGAAGGTTGGAAAAGTGGAAGTTTGGAAGGTTCACACTAGGTGATACTGCATTTAGTTTATGTGCCGTATTTGTCTGAACTCATATTCAGAAGCCTAGGAAGCCATGCTAGCAACTCTCATACAAAAGCAGGATCGGACTGGAAGTTTGTTTATTTTTTTGGCTACATGGAGGGAAATGGAGGGAAGGAAATCTTTGTGAGAAGTAGTTTTCTATTTTGCTTAAAAACTTATAAAACAAATCCCAGATTTTCACCACCATTTTACGCATGATTCTGTGGAACTCTAGAGATGACAGATGGTTAACTTAAAAAATGAAAGTCCATCTCACATGGGAAAAGAGGAGGGGGCACGCTTGCTACGGGAAATCTGGGTAAACATCTTTGAACCTCGTGGATTCTTCAACCAGATCAGTGCTGGTCAGAGCCTTTTCAAGCTTTTTGCTTCACTACCATCCTTCAGTTGTTAACATCCTTTAAAGGACCACGATGACTAAATGAGCCCAAACACGAGCTTATGCCAAGCCTGCTGGTGCTGGCTGCAGAGCCAGTTCTCATGCCCCTTGACCTGTGCAATGGGATGGGAGGCAGAGCGAGGTAAGGTCACCCATTATTTTGAGGCTGAAAAGCACAATTGTGCATAGATAACATTTCACCTGACTTTTCACTGCCCTTTGGAGGACAGAGTCTCCAATTCCTCTTGGCTGCACAGCCGCCAAGATAAAAAATTTCACTCAAAAACTGAACCGTAAAACAACGTACGCCATCTTACCTTCCAAATGTTCTGTTGTAACCAGTCCTAGTGCTACCATGAAGGCAATTTTCTAAGGAAAAAAATAAACAGGGTCAGATTTTCTACTGTAACAATCACAGTAGAAGTAAGTAAATAAACAAACCCAGCACTGACAGAATTCAACCAGTTCAATTTAATATTGCTAGCTGCTTTGTTACTCCACTCTTTAGAGAAGTAATTGTGTATTATTAGTAGTATCTGGACATAGCACTGCTTTTATTGGATATGCACAAGCTGTATGAAGTAAAACAAGATATGATACACTTCCACTGAACTTTACAACACTAAACAAGACATATGAAGCACATTGAAAGTCCCCTTCCCCCCCAAAAAAATTGCAGAAATTTCTCTTTCCAAGTTACAGAAAATATATCATGGTCATGAATTATGAAGAGGTACACTGATCCAATATTTTCCCTCAATGGGAATTTGAACAAACGTCTCCCACTGACACAGGTGAACATATTTTGCAGTGAGGAATCTGATCTAAAATATTACTTAGAACTCTTGTACACTATACAGGCACAAAACACATCTTCATACTAACAAATTTTCAAAACATGCCGATGCAGTAATAGGGCAAGTACTAGATCAGATTCTAAATTTTCTGTCAGTGATTTTTCATTGGGAAATTTTTCTTTGTGGAAAAAGTTTTGCTGAAGCTTTTATTCCATCTTTTTGATGGAAAACTGAAATTCTGCTCTGTTTTTCAAAGCCTAAACTAAACTGAACTCCTTGGTTTTGGGTCACACCTGTGGCACTGTGGGGCCTCGGGGATCCATTCCTCTTTCCGCTGTGCTGAACAATCTTGTCAGATCATGTTACTCAAGTGTAATTTTCACAAGGTGCAATTCCACAGAAGAGACAATCTGACTATGAAACCCAAGCTATCAGGAAATTCAAGCAAGCAGAGCCCACAATCCAATTCTGCTAAAGCATCCAAAGACCATAGGAAGATGCAATTATCATACTCACCCAAAATAAAATGTGTAGGTTTAGGTCAAACTAAAATACAGTGTTTAAGAGGCAGCAGGTCAAAACATTCTGTTTCAATCAAAGAAGTGTCAGGAGAACACGTTTCAACACTTCCAAGTCAAAATTAGTTTGACCTTTTTGTTTTGTGAAAAGCCTTTTCATTGTGAAGTTTTGTGAAAAAAATGTTCATTGCAGTTCAGAATAAAGACAACTAGTACATCACCAGAACACCATTTCCTTTGCAATTCTCACACAGTGAAATTGTGAAAGCAAGCACATCCTCATTTTGTAGATTAAAACATCTAGCTACGGGGTGGGTGCTTCAAAACCTGAGGGTCAGGATTCGACACCTATATCCATATTACACATGCAAAAATACCTCTGTCAATCAGGTGAACTAACAACATCATAAGACAGGAATATTTTCTTTCCTCAATCTCCTAGTATGTAATTCTCCCTGTTCGTTAAAAAATGATGATGTCAAATCTCATCACTGGCAATTTAGATACATTCATGCTATATTTCTGCCTTCCATAACTGTGATAATGACAAGCACATGTGTTCATTTGCATGTCAGACCTTGATTTCAATAACATTCACTTCTTACATGTCTAAAACACCAGCTAGACACAGTGGGGGTTCCACACCTGAAGAGAAAGATGAATATTTGATATGAGATCCACTGTGCAGATCTGAGAGGAAAATTAGTCAATTGAGTAGAATTACAAGCTTCACCTCACCCCCACCAAAAAGTAACTTTGTGGCAGGATACATCTCGGCACTCTGAGCAGAATTAATAACAACAATTAGGTACAGAAACAGAAAGCTGGAACGGTTAACATACGATGGTATGTTCCCAATGGAGCGCAGCACGCCTATATGACCTGAAGATTAAACTGTAGGGGGACCATATATTTTCTGACAGCTAAACTAAAATGACTTGAGTACTGGAACGTTCGCTAAACAATTTCTTCTTTTCATACTAAAATTATTTTAATACTATCTAATTAAATGTAATAACAGCATACTTGCTTTAAGTATGAAAAGCCTTCATAAATGGACTTGATAATTATTTCACTATTAAATACAAGAAGAGTTAGCTTTCATAGGTATTTGAAAGATGGTTTCTTTTTTAAAAATCCCAGTAGAAGCTGTATTCTTTTTAATACACATATTGTATTAACAGCATATTTGTTTTTATGGGTTTTGCTATTTCACATTTATGTAGCTCATTGTATTCAACTCAAAATACTACCTCCACTGCAATGCTTTTCTTTCAAGTACCACTGAGTATATCGTTTCTTCTCTGTGCAGGAATCCACAAAACTGAGGCTTCCATTTCTCCAGATTTTCAATCCAGGCCTAATACTAGCTTTTGATTTACAATTGCAACATGTCTCTCTTGTCCTTCTTAGATGGAAATAAAAACACTGTTAGCCAAGTAACCTGCATTTATGGCAGTAATTTTTCTTTTAAATTAAATTCTGCTAGAATATCCTAGAAAATGTTGCTATAATTGTAAAATTTTACTACTATAAAATTTTAAAAAAGCAAAAACTTTTGGGCGGAATTCTGTTTCTTTCTGTGCTGAATTCAGGGTCTTTTAAGAAAAAAAAAACCCAAAGCCAACCAACCAAAAAAACCCCAACCCCCCCAGGCACTCGCTCCCGAAAGGAGCAGCTCCCTTGTGTAATTACTTCATTTCTTTGCAGAAGTCATTCTTGTGGGAGAAGGCCCATCACTAGATGGGCAGTTATTGGCCTCCATCCCCAACAGAGCCCTGCTGATGGCAGGGAGCAAGTGACTTACTCCGCCACACCCTCCTCAGCCCCAGGGGGACTGAACCCTCATGGCTCATATCCCAGGAGAGGGCTCTGACCACTGGACTTGGGCACCCTGTGTGGCTGAGACCCTTCACCCTGCTTCTGGGAAAGCCACTCCACAGCCACGCTTCCAGGCATCCTGGCTGCAAGACAGCAGATGGAAGGAGGTTTGCTTTTGTCTAAAGACGTGCTTGGGAAAGGAGAAATCTTCAGCTTATGTAAAAGGCTTACGTATTGCAGAGGCTGTGTCCAGGATTGGCTTCATGGCTTCCCAGCAGAATGACAGAGCCAGGAACAAAAGACAGTAATTATTTTCAGTCTTTTCTGTTCGTTCAGGTACACTCAGTAACTGCAGATGGGATTCCTGGCTACTGGTAAGTCTGGTGACTTCTGGTTTGTTTGTTTTAAATTTTCAGTTTAATTAGTTAAATCCCAGTCTGCCACAACCAACACTTATGTAGAGCCATATTGGAGTTCCTGCCTCAGTTTTGTGCTTTGAAGACAAATAAAGGTGTGGAGAGAAGTGCCTAGAGTTCTTATTTTCTTTTTAAAAATATCATAATATCTTTGTTACTCTTTGCCTTAAATTTAATCATCTCTTTAAAAGCCATGAGTGCTTTTAGAAATGCGCAGTACATCTTTTCATGAAGCAAAACAAAGATTTTTACAAAACCATTTCATTTTGTAATTACATGTCCTATTTATGTCATTACATGTATTTACACTAATTATGCTGTTAGTTCTAATTACCCTAATTACATAAATACATGATAATCAACTAAAGTTTACTTTCAAAGAACAAAAGAAATTAACTCTAGACCTACATATTTACGGCCATGAAACATATCTATGAAAAGAAAAGAATTGTCATACTTAAGGACACTGCTTCAGCATCCTACCCAGAAAATTGTGCTTGCCGAGACCTCCAGTATACACGGTAGGAACAATGTTCTTGGTTACAAAAAAAGTAGTCAGCATATTCTAGTTAGCAATTCAATGAAAAGCTCATTAAATTTATGAATGCTATACCAAAAAGTGTGCCTAGTCCCACAGCCTCTTCCTGCATCTCTCTGGAAGATTTTTGCTCAATATTCTTTCCATGGGGATAAGTTATAAAGAAAAACAGACATTTTTTTCTAGTATTCTGTTTTTAAGCAGGATCTACTAGCCTCTCTGCCCTTTAGGTGCTACACAATAAATAATCTTCCAGAAATACCTCACTAGACAAAACAGGACCCTACAGTCCCACCACTCAGTGGCAATGAAGATTCACATGAGGGTCAGATTTTAAACTTGGGGGGTTTTCTAAGTGTACTGCTGCAGGGCTTCTGCATAAAGCTGTGATATTTTAGGCTAAAAGCCACTATTTATCCTTAACACTGTTTTAACCATATGAACCTCTTAAAACGGTAAAATGACCACCCACATGCCTCAAGTCACATTATAAATTTATATTGTCATAATCCTCTTAAACCTACAGCTCCAAGGATGCTTTTGTGCTACACATTTATTAGACTAGTAAGGTTAAGATTTCACATGAGCTGAGCATTTCTACAATGGAAGTAGATTCAGTTTGTATAACTTCTCAAATTGCCTCAAAAGTACACACAATCTAATGCGAATACATCTAGTGAAAAACCAAAATGCCCGTTAAAGAGATAATCCATTTCTACAAGGATTTTTGATTTATATTTTTAGTTTACATTGCAAATGTAGTTCATGAGAGAGATTTAATCTTACAACCTGCTTCCTACTCTCTTACTCAATTTAAAGGATTTTAATGTATTTCAGACCAGAAAGAATCTGTGTACATGTGGGAAGACATATACACAGCAAATGCAAGAAACTGTATTGTTAAATACAATCTAAAAATTGCAAGATTCATTGCAGAGAAGATGGAAAAGATCAGCTTACAAAAGAAATGTTAATTCAACCTCATATGCAGCCTGTAAACTCAATGTTATATGTTTGATAACATAAAAGAAAGTATCTTAAGCTTGTATACACCTTTCACAAGAAACAGAGCTATACCCATGTAAGATGCCCAGGTTATTATTAGACCTATAATTCTTATATTTTGTGACACTGGAAGGTTTTTTACCCACTACTGGTCTTCCAGGCAGGAGGAGAGGAAGCTGCATCCTGTAGTCTGAGGGGAACAAAGAGAGACTTCAGGGCCTTGGGACAATTACTGAAAGAGTCTGGTGAGCAAGTTATTTTCTCTTCCCTCCTTCCAGTTGCAGGTGATGATATGGGAAGCAACAGAAGGATCCAGTCCATAAATACCTGGCTCCGAGACTGGTGCTACAGGCGGGGGTTTAGGTTCTTTGACAATGGCTGGTTTTATAAGACACCAGGCCTGACGGTAATACGTGGGAAGGGCTTATCTTGTAGAGCGAAAAGGGGTCTAGGGCAACAACTAGCAGGGCTCATACACAGAGCTTTAAACTAGATTCGAAGGGGGATGGGGTTGTAGCTGGGTTTGCACTGGTGGGGCAGCGTTCTAGCATTATTAAAGACCAGAAGGCCTCCCATCCCCCTAGGGTGAAATCAGTGTGCTCCCTCAAATGCCTGTATATCAATACATGCAGCATGAGGAATAAACAGGAGGAGTTAGAAATCTGTGTGTGGTCAAGGGATTATGATCTGGTAGCAATGCGGTCAAGGGGTTATGGTCTGGTGGCAATTACAGAGACGTGGTGGGACAGCTCACATGACTGGAATGTGGTCATGGATGGCTATGTCCTTTTCAGGGAAGACAGGCCAACAAGACGAGGAGGTGGAGTTGCTCTTTACGTGAGAGAGCAACTAGAATGTATCGAGTTCTGGCCAGGGGTGGATGAGGAGCAGGTTGAGAGTTTGTGGGTGAGAACTAAGGGGCAGGCTAGCATGGGAGATACTGTTGTGGGTGTCTATTACAGGCCACCTCATCAGGATGAGGAAGCTGTTGAGGCCTTCTACAGGCAGCTCGCAATCACGGACCCTGTTAATTACCCAGATATTTCCTGGAAGGCCTACACAGCCAGCCATTCACAGTCCAGGAGGTTCCTCCAGTGCATCAATGATAACTTCTTGATGCAAATGGTGGATGAGCCAACTAGGAGAGGAGCACTGCTAGATCTTATACTCACTAACAAGCAGGGTCTGGTTGAAGCGGTGAAGGTTGAGGGCAGCCTTGGCTGCAGTGACCATGAGATGGTGGAGTTGAGGATCTTGTGCAGTAGGAACAGAATACCAAGCAGGATCACAACCCTGGACTCCAGCAGGGCCAACTTTGGCCTTTGCAAGCAACTGCTAGCAGAAATCCCATGGAACAGGGTACTAGAATGTAAAAGGGCCCAAGAGTTGGTTTATATTCAAGGACCACTTTTTCCAAGCTCAAGATCAGAGCATCCCAGCAGGTAAGAAATCAAGAAAGGGAGCCAGGAGACCTGTATGGTTAAACAGGGAAGTGATGGGCAAACTTAAGTGAAAGAAGAGAGTCTATAGATCTTGGTAGGAGGGGATGGCCACTTGGGAGGACTATAAGACTGTTGTCAGAGGATGTAGGTAGGCAACTAGGAAAGCTAAGGCTTCCTTGGAGTTAAGCCTTGCAAGGGAGGTCAAGGACAACAGAAATGGCTTCTTCAAATACACTGCAGACAAAACTAACACTAGAGGCAATGCAGGCCCACTGCTGAATGAGGCAGGTGCCCTGGTGACAGAGGATACAATGAAGGTGGAGCTACTGAATGCCTTCTTTGCCTCTGTTAATACTGCTAGACTGTCCTCAGGAGCCCCAGACCCCTGAGGCCCCAGAGGAAGTCAGGATAAAGGAGAAATTTGACTTGGTTGATGAGGACTGGGTTAGGGATCAATTAAGCAATCTGGACATACACAAATCCATGGGCCTTGATGGGATGCACCTGCAGGTGCTGAGGAAGCTGGCGGAAGTC